GAGGTTGGACAAGATGACCTTAAAATGTCACTTCCAACACAAAACATTCTGTGACTGTATGATCTCACTGCTTAACAAAGAAAGTCGGGATTTGCTCTTGGGAGAAAGATTCAGGAGTTGGTTTTATTTGATGTTTTATCCAGGCACTTGCCAAGAGAAGTTGATCAGCAAAAACTGCATTTCACCTTGTGGTATGTTTTGAAACTCTTATAAATGCTGCAGTAGGGACAATTGCATTTGCAACGAGGCTTCTGAGATGAGACGGTTCTGGAAACTGGAGTTCTGGTCAGTGTTACCAGGTCCCTTCTCTGGTCCAGACTTTGATGAGGACCTTGTTGAGCAACCTATGCGAGCTTCTTAACCCATCCTGATCTCCTAGCACCTGCAGTTTGCCCATCGTTCCACAGAACATTTGAACATCTGATATTCAGGCATGGAAAGGCCAGTCTGAAGTTAGTTTGAGCTTGACGGGGAAGACATCCCTCAGTTATTCTTTTGTAGCTTCTCATGCAATAAGACTCTGCAGCTGCTATTAAAAAAAAAAAAAGCATCTTGAAAATTTCTGTTGAGTTTTTTGGAGTGCTGACTCACAGCTGTGCTGGAATTTTGCAAGCAGCATGGTCAGGTTGTTCATGCAGTTACACAGAGAGCCAAACAAATGGGGGGCACAATCCTGACCAGCACAGCCCCAGATCCTACTGTGTCTCTTACCATTTCAGCCAGGCAGAAATTTCTGGAGGCTTAAAAAACTCTGGAAAACAATGAATTTGTATCTCCAATGGTATCATTTGTGTATACTGTACCCACTCTGGCCCTGATGAAGTCTGAGACAGCATGGGGATGGCATATTAGCAAGCGAAATGCTCGACCCTGGGGTAAGCTAGTACCTGTCTGTATAGCTGAGCACTCTTCCTCTGAAATGAGGTAGCTGAATCCAAAATATCAATTGGAAAGTAGGTCTGGAATTGTCAGGAATGATCCTAGAATGTCAGGTCAAACCAGAACAGGTGCTGAGGCTCATTCTAACAATTAAAGTGCAAGGACAAGTGTGGGACAGCCCTTGAAGCTGTACATGGGCTCTCCATGTATTACTGGTATAGAAATAGCTGCTTCCATGACAGCTCTTCTGCCATGTGATTCCAGCCCCAGGGAGCTAGAAGGGGAGTGACCTCCTTTGGAGCTTGTGACACCTGGATATTGCTTCTGGATACCCTTACTAATGCCCCTAAGTACAAATATGATCCTGTGTATAATGTAATCCAGACCTAGCTGGGATTTGAGCGCTACAGGAATCTCAGAGATCCTATAGAATCAAATAATACTGGTAAACAGAGATTTGAGATGTCCTTGGGGCATCCTTTCCCTGTCCTGCTTGAAAGAGAGGAAGCCAAAGGGCAGGTTCTCAGAAGGATTTCAACACCTCGGTGCAACCTGGCCCCAGGCTGCTTATGCTGTGTTCTTGAACCTGTCTATCCCTGCCCCACAGTGGAACTCCTACAGTGAGCAACTGGCTACCTTCTCAGCATCCAGAAATGGGGAGTGAATGGGAGGTGGGGTAGAAGCAGCCACAGGGTCTGAGTTCTTCAGTCATGACATGCAGAGGGTTTAAACCCACGTTAGTTCATGGCAAACCCATGACTACGCTTAGCCCCAAGCTCTCCTTGGCTTCCCTAGGAGTTAAGCACTGAAACACTTGTGAGGGTCTGAGGTGGAGACAGATCTGCATCAGGGCCATCTGTGTCTCTCGCTGATTTTGAGGAGGTCACAGCTAGGAAGGATGCTAAGAATGAGCCTTGTAGGCACAAGCACAAGTAAATCTCTGGGGAGGAGGAAGAGATCAAGAGAAAGAACCATAATGAAAAAATAAACCACTGTTCAGCCACTACTAACTGAACTCATGAATGGGAAGAGCTGGAGCTTGCCCTCACCCAAGGGATGTTTGACACACACAGAGCAACCTCTTCTCCTTCTTGAGCAATCCATGCTTCAAAGTGTTGTCTTCTGTGCCAAAACTAAATGGTGCCATGTTGATCTGGCTTCTTCCTCCTCCACAACCCCACCCAAAATGAAGGTTGAGGAACATGACAGGGTCAGATTCTGCAATTCTTTCAATGTGTTTTACTTAGGGCTGGGAAATCTCTGGTGATGCAATCATACCTGGTGCTGAGAACCAGTTCTGTCCTGCAGCCCCTGGTGTACCAGCAGCTTGGTGGGAAATGGCAATACATCCAGATTGGGATGATGTTGGGATAGATAGAAATATTTGGCAACCTTCTGAGATACCACCTAAGAAATGATAAGGCAGAATCAAGCTCTGACCATAGGGAAGCTGAATAATGAAAAACTCGAGGGGAAATAAAAGACCCCAAGAGATCAAGCCATGATGTTTCTGTCCCTCCTCATTGCTGTAGTTCCATATGTGAACAGTTGTCCCAAGATCTTTTGTGAGAAGAGCCCAGTATGAGGCTCCCAGAAGATGAGCAGATCCCTGGCCGACTTCTGTTCTTTGACTTCTTATTTCTATTCTTCAGCCAGGGAAACTCAGTGGCCAGAGCACTGAAGAAAGCAGCCAAAGAAACCCACGTTTACCAACCAGCTCTAACAACTGTGTAGTCCAGCCAAGAGTAAAATGAGGGACCAAGTCCTCATCCTGAAGGATGTGATTCATGTGCTTGCAAGGGTCTGATCCCCAAGGCTGAACCTGAGCAAGGGAAATAAACAGTTCCTAGGAACGTTCCCTGGTCTGTAACGCCATCATCCACAACACTTAATTAATCATTTTAATTACTAGCATGTTCCCTGGCAAAGGTTTTAATGTGGCCCAACTACCATAGTGCTGTGCAATGTCTGGAAAAAACAGAGAACACAATGGAAGGACTGTTCACAAGACGCCCTATGCATATCCACCTCTTCTGTGCTGGAGATGGTCCTGGACACATCTAATTTACTGTTCTAGCTGTAGAATCATAGAATTACTTAGACTGGAAAAGGCCTTTAAAATCATCAAGTAAAACCATTAACCCAGCAATGGCAGGTCCACCACTAAAACATTTCACACAATTCATAGCCTCATTTCTGATCTATGATTCTGGATACAGGGACAGTTTTTTCTTGTGTGTTGGTTTTTTTTCCTGGCAGGTCTCTGTCCTGACCCAACCAAGTACTGCCTTCTGTGCTGCGGTCATGATGCTCCCATGTGTTGGCCACCATCCTCGGTCTCCCATGTGTCTCTGAGGAAATGCCAGCCATGGCAGACCCATACCTCACATATGTACATCAGACATACCTGAGGCCAGGATGGTAACTTCCCAACTATCTGGCTCAATGGGCCACCAACAACCCTCAAAATGCCAAGTGGCCTATTGTAGACCTTCGTCTATCATCATACTTCTCCATCAAACCACTCCTGCCAGCACCACTTCCCATGACCTTGAAGATCGCCTTTGTGCTCTCAATGAGGAGCAGATTGGAATCCCTGGACCAGGTGACTCTCCAGCTCTGTGTCAGGAGAGGTTCATGCCATCCATTCTTGGGAGTGAGGGACTAAAGTGACACGGACACATTTCTTTGTTTCATAAAACAAGCACAAATACAGGCTGGGTGATCAGTGGACTGAGAGCAGCTCTACAGAGAAGGTCTTGTGCGTGTTGGTGGATGAAAAACTGAATATAAGCCAGCAATCATAGAATGTGTTGGGTAGGAAGGGACCTTTAAAGGTCATCTATTCCAATCCACCTGCAGTAGGCAGGGACATCTTTAACGAGGTAAGGTTGCTCAGAGCCTTATCAAGCCTGACCTTGAATATCTCCAGGGATGGGACCTCCATCACAGAATCGTTGGAGTTGGAAGAGACCTCTAGGGATCATCTAGTCCAACCCCCTCATTAAAGCTCATTTGCCTAAATCACATTACATGGGCTTCCGTTCAGGAGAGTTTTGAATATCTCCAGAGAAGAAGCCCCCACAATCTCCCTGAGAAGCCTGTTCCTGTGTCTCAGCATCCTCATAGTGAAGAACTTCTTCCTAATGTCTAATCTAAATCTTCCCTCATCCAATTGCTACTTGTCCTTGTAAACTGACCCTCCCGATGTTTTCTGTAGCCCCCTTTAGGTACTGGAAGGCTGCTGTAAGGTCTCGCTGGAGCCTTCTCTTCTCCAAGCTGAACAACCCCAGCTCATATCATATCATATCATGGCCTAAGCTGGAAGGGACCTTAGAGATCATTTTAATCCAGCCTCGCTGCCACCAGGGACGCCACCCTCTCACCTTGTCCTTATAGGAGAGGTGCTCCAGCTCTCTGATCATTTTTGTGGCCTTCCTCTGGACCTGATCCATGTCCTTCTTGTGTTGAGGGCTCCAGAGCTGGACAGAGTACTGGACAGAATACTCCAGATGAGGTCTCACCGGAATGGAGTATGAGGGCAGAATCACCCCTCTCCATCTCCTGACATGCTTCTTTTGATGCACTTGCAGGCCAGAAAGCCAATCATATCCTGGGATGTACCAAAAGTCCTCCCTGGAAGTGTTCAAGGCCAGGTTAGATGGAGCTTTGAGCAACTTGGTCTAGTGGGAGGCGTCCCAGCCGATGGCAG